GGCATTTAGGGGCTCACACCTTGCGTTGCGCGCCCAAAGCTTTCTTTCCTCCATCCACTCGTCCGCTCTCTAGTATCAACCATGTCGTTGCGGCAAAAGGCTGACACTCTCAGACAAACGATCGATAATCTCCTCGTGGCGGGGGTTGACATGGCGGTTCCAATTCTCAGGGTCGTCAATGCTACCGCTGATTGGTGTCCCCCTCTGAAGATGGTCACTGGCGGTGCACTCTCCATCTTCGACGAGGTTAAAGTTGGTAATGATTCAAACTTGATTATGAATGAAAGCTCACGCTAGTTTTCCCCACGTAGAAGTTCAAGGAGGACAAGGAACAATGGGTTGATTTTGGTGAATACGTAGCCAGCACTACGGCCAAGGCAGTTTCAGCCATAAAGTCTTATGATATGTCAGCGGGGGAGGCAGGGTCATGGGTAGAGGGTATCGCGGAGCTTGGGAGGTATGTTGTATTGGTTTTGGTTTTTCCGATATCATCTTACGTCCAGTACCAGCGCGCTACAGGAGATCCAGTCCGAAATCGGACAAAGACTTAAAAAACTAGAGGAGCGGTCGGCTGTAAGAAATGCATGGTCCCACTATCGAGACCCTGGAAGAATTGAGGGCCTAAAGAGGAATTTTGACAAGGCGTTGGCATCGTTTCAGGTAGCTTTCCTCGCAGTGTTGTTCCATAACCATTCTGAATTTCAACCGGTGCAGTTTAGGACGAATTTAACAATTGGTGTCAAATTATCGACCATAGAGGACAGCTTAGACCATCTGAAGAGTGACCCAATCCTCGGTAGTCTTCGATACCCTCAAATTGCCCACCACGATTCAACAGAGGCGTGCCTAGAAGGCACTAGGGTGGATCTCACGGAGCGTATTATGAACTGGTGTCGTAACACCGGGGATAACGAGAACCGGCTGATGCTACTGACCTCCGTCGCTGGTGCCGGCAAGACTTCGATTGCACACACAATTGCAGATAGATGTAATAGGGAGGCTATCCTGTTGCTGTGCTTTTTCTTCAGGGTTGGCGAACAGCCGCGGCCGGACTGTTTATTCAGCGGCATTGCTCGAGCTCTAGCAAGCCGTGATGCAGATTACCGCACCTTCATTATCTCTGCCCTTCGAAAAGACCCCACCCTCTCAACAGCTCCGTTCACGATGCAGTTCGAGGAATTGGTGGTTTCACCTCTCCATATCCTCCGGCGTCCCAGCCATCCTATGGTGGTCATTATCGATGCTTTGGACGAATGTGACGAAGACGCATATCTACCTCTTGCTAAGATTCTCTGCGAGGAAGTACCCAAGTTACCATCTTCCATAAAGTTTTTCGTTACTTCAAGACATGTTGATCTCGTTAATCGCTCCCTCTCACGTCATTTCCCTATCGATCACCTCACCATCGACCTCCTGGATGACACAAATATGCATGACTGTGCTGCATACATCCGTTTCCAGCTACAAGAACTTAAGAATTGGCATCCCAATTTGGCGCATAAACTCCAAGATGAGGAGAGTGCGGTGCAGGAGATCTTGGATCGAGCGGGTGGCTTGTTTATTTGGATCAGCACCATCTTTCGTTACATGAAGAAGCCTAGGAAGGATCCTATGAGAACACTATCGAGCCTGCTCGACACCGGCACGGAACGATTAAAGGTGCCGACTGAGAAGATGATGGATGACCTGTATACGAGGATTCTGAAGAAGTTTGATTGGGAGGATGAAGATTTCGCGCACGACTACCCGATTGTGATGGGAGCGGTTTTCGTTGCTCAGCAGCCTCTGTCTGTCACAGCCTGGGACGCAATATTGTCACCTTCTCTTAATTCTTCGGTTCAATATGCGTTGGCCGAACTTGCTCCTCTGCTCTCAGGAGTTGAGGATCCCCACATTCCGGTTCGCATCTTACACCAATCTTTCCGCGATTTTATTGTCAATCGGATCAATCCTCAAACAATCAGCTCTCATTGCACTCCCGTAGCGGTGGGGGTGGAGAATGCCAGGGTTGCCCTGCGATGTACCAAGATTTTGAACGAGGGTCTCTGTTCTGTAAAGGGCTTAGGACAAATCGAAAACTTGACCGAAAAGGATGAAATGCCGTGCATTCCTCCAAAGGAGTTATCTGAGCACTTTCGTTATGCATGTCGCCACATTGTCCATCACCTCAGTGAGGTCCGGGAACCATCAGAGGAGCTTTCTGGGTCAATTGGTATGTTTCTGAGTCAGGAAGCAACTCGGTGGGTGGAAGTCTGCGTGAGAATGGAATGCTATGTCAGTATCTTGTTACTCCCTGAGTGGGCCAAGGTATGGGTTATGAATTGTGTTAAAGAAACTATCTCATGGTCTTCCAGTTGGCTGTGGACCACAGCGCTGTTTGGGCACTGGCTAATGTGCTTACTCAGCTTTCGTCAAATTTGGTATTTTTTTCAAGATTCCAGGAGGCATATAAGGCAGCAAATGATTCTGTTGTGCTCTGCCGTTACCTTTTCTCTGTGGACTCAAGTTCCCATACCCCACATTTGGCCGAGTCACTCAGTAGTCTATATAGAGCCCTTCACAAACTCGGACGGAACTTGGAGGCACTCTCATCTGTTGAAGAAACCGCCAAACTCTACCGCCAGTTGGTTGCCATTCACCCAGGATCATACACCCCAAATTTGGCTATGTCACTCAATAATCAATATTTTGCTCTTTCCAATCTCGGACAGCACTCAGAGGCACTCCCATTCATTGAGGAAAGTGTCAAACTCTTCCGCCAGCTAGTTGCTGTTCACCAAGGATCATACATCCCGGGTTTGGCTGCATCACTCAACAGTCAATATTCAGCTCTTTCCAATCTCGGACGGCACTTGGAGGCACTTTCATTCATCGAAGAAAGTGTCAAACTCCGGCGCCAGCTAGTTGCTGTCAGCCCAGAATTATATATGCCGGATTTGGCCATCTCGCTCAACAATCAATATTTTGCTCTTTCCAAGCTTGGACGGCACTCGGAGGTGCTCCCATTCATTGAAGAAAGCATCAAACTCTACCGCCAGCTAGTTGTCATCCACCCAGGATCATACACCCCGGATTTGGCCTTGTCACTCAACAATCTATATACTGCTCTTTCAAATCTCGGACAGTACTCAAAAGCGCTTCCATTCATTGAAAAAAGTGTCAAACTCTACCGCCAGCTAGTTGCCATTAACCCAGAATCATACACCCCAGATTTGGCCATGTCACTCAACAATCTATGTGATGCGCTTCACAACCTCGGACAATACTCAGAGGCACTCCCATTCATCGAAGAAAGCGTCAAACTCTTCCGCCAGCTAGCTGCCATTCACCCAGGATCATACACCCCATATTTGGCTGTGTCACTCAATAATCTACGTAATGCTCATTCGCATCTCGGACAGCACTTGGAGGCCCTCCCATTCATTGAAGAAAGTGTCAAACTCTACCGCCAGCTAGTTGCCATTAACTCAGGATTATACACCCTGAATTTGGCCGTGTCACTCAGCAATCTATGTAATTCCCTTTCCGATCTTGGACGGCACTCGGAGGCGCTCCCATTCATCGAAGAAAGTGTCAAACTCCGGCGCCAGCTAGTGGCTGTTAACCCAGGAGCATACACCCCAAATTTGGCCATGTCACTCAAAAATCTATGTAGTGCTCTTTCGAATCTCGGACGGCACTCAGAGGGGCTCCCATTTGTTGAAGAAAGCCTCAAACTCTACCGCCAGTTAGTTGCCGTTCACCCAGGATCATACACACCGGATTTGGCCATGTCACTCAACACTCTATTTAAAGCTCATTCGGATGTCGGACGGCACTCGGAGGGGCTCCCATTCATTGAAGAAAGTGTCAAACTCTACCGCCAGCTAGCTGCCGTCCACCCAGGATCATACACCCCGAATTTGGCCTTGTCACTGAACAACCTATATGGTGCTCTTTCGAATCTCCGACAGCATTCAGAGGGGCTCCCATTCATCGAAGAAAGTGTCAAACTCTACCGCCGGCTAGTTGCCATCCACCCCGGATCATATGCCCCAGATTTCGCCATGTCACTCGACAATCAATCTTTGGCACTTTTGAAACTCGGACAGCACTTGGAGGCGCTCCCATTCATCGAAGAAAGTGTCAAAATCCGTCGTCAGCTAATTGCTGTTAACCCAGGAACACACACTCCTAAATTGGCCAAATCAGTTGAGATTCTACGTTATGCTCTCTCCAACCTCGGACGTCATTCCGAGGCACAAATGGTCCACATTTGAGCATGCTCTCCTCATCATTGCATCAGCTGCTTCACTACCTGCACATGGCAGGCAAGCTTGAACTGGATATTCGGCTCGAGAACACCAACCTCAATTACTTTGATTGCAAACTATATTGATAAAATATTCACAGAGTTCACTAGCCGCAACTGCACCCATAACAAATCACAGTCACATCTTTCAATTCTGATATCGTATCCATTTCTTTCTCTAACACATTTTTCATCGCATCGTTCATCGCTGATGTACTGATCTCCGTTTTTGCATCCTAACCGATGGCATTGAGGTCTGGATCGATCGGCACGTTGGCACAATGGAAGGACGAAATCGTCGACATGTCGACACTGTCTGGCGGGTGTGAAAGTCGAGAACCGGTGAAAGCATAATGGTGTACAGTGACGGGGATGTCCAACTCCAATATATACGTAAGGGACACACACATCAAGCTTTGACTTGACACTATTATCTCGATATGGCGGGCTTCATGAGTGTCGGGACTTGGCGCATTCCCCGCATCAACCGTTTCCATTCAAATTACCTACGTACCACCACTGGCCACTCTGCATAGCCTACCGAGAATCCTGCTCAGAATTGGATGAAGGGACTCCTCGTACTGTTCGAGTTCGAGGTAATTCTTTTCGACGCGTATCATACTCTTTTTGAATAAGAAGGATAGGAGATCGTGGACAAGGCTGTAGTGGGACGGAGCGGTGGGAATGCGGGTGGTGTGGGGAGGCGGAATGGGAGTGCAGGGGTAGGGTCAATGAGGATGTGAGTGAGCGGAGTGTGAGGGGTTTGGGAGAGCACCCAGTATATATATTTCTGGAGTATACCGGCAGGGCCGGGCAAGAAGGATTGAACAAGGCAGCCAAGGAGGTTTTCGCAGGCAAATAGCCCGAGGCTGAGTATTTCTCAGTAAGTTTTCGTTCCACAGTTTTTTTTTTCTTTTTTGTTCGGTCTTGTATAGGGCTAATGATGGTGATTTTGGTTGGTCTTCTAGCTTGACTCAAGTGACTGCATGATCTGACACATGTTGTGTAACTCGTTTTCCCAGCGGCGAAAGAGGTAGACTGGACTTGGCTTGGTTCTTCCTTCCAGACCCTCTAGTCCCTCTGCATGCCCCGTTTTCGATTCGAGGTCTATGGTGACTTGGCTCATGGATCGAAGTCTGTCCACTTATCCTCGCGCGTTGCAATTTCCTTCGTTCCGCCACTTGAATGCGGAGATGTTCGTCTTAATTTGGACATTAGCCTGCCGGTGAGGGCTACTATATACAATGATGTCAACTCATCCCATCTCTGCTTCCACTCTCGGGTCCTTCTAATCGCTTCATCATCAACTAGACTCACGAGTTCATGCAAGTTGCCCTCCCCGTCATTTCTTTCCACTATTCACCGTTCGCTGTCACGCACCCTTTCGCTCATGGTCGGGTCGCACACACACATGTGTCAACAGACCATCTTCAAATTATCGATCCCATCTCATTCTTTTTTTTTTCATTTTCATGTTTCAAGCCTCGTTGTCATTTCATTTCATTCTATCTTCCCTTGGTTTCTGTCAATCCTGCGTTCGGGTGAGATGGTGGTGCCAGCGCTGGTCGTGTGGATGATGCGATGTCCATTCTCGCTGGAGAAAATAATTAGGGTTAGCATCAGCAAAAAATTGTTATGCTCCTGAGTGCTCCGGAGTATCGAGAGCACTGGGAGAATCAGGAGGAGATTGGCCGGTCCAGGAACAGCCCATTTCCTCCGGAGTTGGCTAGGTACTCCAGGGCACTCCCAGGAGGGCCTGGAGCATTGCTTTGTGCACAAACATATCCAGTAAATACAATTTAAATGCTTCAAAGTGTATAGGGGTGAGAAGCTTCTGGGAGCTCCTGGAGCATTTGAAAATGAAAAGGAAAAAAAGAGGGAAGATCCCCCATGAATACCTCCTACCACAAGACTAACACAACAAGACACTGCTTAACATTTAGATCAAACACTATACTATATATCAAGGACACTGAGACTCACCAATACACAATCAAAATTTATGGCCTGATATATGATTAATCTGGCAACTTAATCACTTTCGGGCTGGCAGAATATGGGGGAGGGGGAAATGGGGGAGAATGAGGGGGGGAATGAGGGGGAAATGAGGGGGAGAATGAGGGGAGAATGAGGGGGAGAATGAGGGGGGGAATGAGGGGGGAATGAGGGGGGGATATAGAGGGAAATGAGGAAAATTTGAAAAATAGGGACTTCTAAAAAGTTGAAAAAAATAATTAGGGAAAAAATCAAAAAAATTCAGGAACTGTAGTGCCTTTGAAGTGCTTTCAGGATATATAATTATTTGCAAAATCGAGGAAGAAATGATGGAGAAAAATGGAAAATACTTTCGGAGACCCGAGAAATAATGAGAACTGAATTGATGGGAAAGTCTGAAAATTGAATAGGGAAGTGAGGGGAAGCCTTGTAGCATTGTTATTTTCTGCTGTTCTAATTTTTCCTGATTGTTCTTGGTCTCACTCCCAGCTGCTACTGGATACTCCTGGATACTCCTGGAAGCTCCTGGGAGGGTCCAGGAGCAGCTAATGGAAAATACTTTTGGAGACCCAAGAACTGAATTGATGGGAAAGTCTGAAAATTGAATAGGAAAGTGAGGGGAAGCCTTGTAGCATTGTTATTTTCTGCTGTTCTGATTTTTCCCGATTCTTCTTCCCAGCTGCTCCTCAATACTCCTGGAAGCTCCTGAAAGCTCCTGGGAGGGTCCAGGAGCAGCTGGGAGTGAGACCAAGAACAATCAGGAAAAATCAGAACAGCAGAAAATAACAATGCTTACAAGGCTTCCCCTCACTTTCCTATTCAATTTTCAGACTTTCCCATCAATTCAGTTCTCATTATTTCTCGGGTCTCCGAAAGTATTTTCCATTTTTCTCCATCATTTCTTCCTCAATTTTGCAAATAATTATATGTCCTGAAAGCACTTTAAAGGCACTATAGTTCCTGATTTTTTTTTTGATTTTTCCCAAAATTTTTTTTTTCAACTTTTTAGAGACCAAAATTTTCCTCCCACTGCTCCTGGCACATTACATACTCCTCACCACTCCCAGCTGCTCCTGAACCCCCTCCCAGGAGAACACTATTGGCTCCAGGAGTGCCCAATCTGCTGTTTTGTCTCCCACATGCTCCAGCCACTCTTGATGCTCTGGAGCATAACGGACTTTTGCTGATGAGCCAATAAGAAGACTAGAGTGCTTGCACTTCGCGCTTCGCAGAACTCTGCACTGCCCACTTATTCCAATAACTATGTTGTTATATTGCAACCATCAATGAAATTCAATCATCTTTCTTGCAACAACACGATACAGGGAAAGACATTCAAGAAAATCTAAAAAAAAACGGATGCCACGGCAGCGAGTGAAGGCCATACATGGCAGCCTTCAGATACGATGGTACTGATCAAACTGAAACGATACTGTGGAAAGCTGAGCCATATTCAACTTGGTAAAGATGCAGCCACATAGACCACCTATAACCTCGCAGAATAAGAGGAACCGGTTGAGCCTCAGAGCCAAGAGGCCCATAAACAGGAGGAAGCGCAGGGCACTTCTGAGAGTCAGCTCTCAGCATAAGCTAAGAACACCAGTGAAAACGGGTAGGAATACGGTCACTGGGACCGTGTCTAGCCTTCTGGAATGAAAGGGAAAGAAGTAAGGGCCATACCCTCGATGTACCCAGGATCTGGCGAAGCGCAGGCGCATCCAGAACTCAGCTCTCAGCTGAGCTTAATACTGGCATAAAACCAGTGGAGAGATGGTCGCATAGACCATCTGAAACCTCTCAGAATGAGTGGAAAAAAGAGTGAGGGCTTGGAATCTGAAACAACCCTGGATGCGACGAAGTGCAGGGCGCTTCCTGAGCTCAAAGAGTTATAATACTGGTGCAAAACCAGTGGAGAGATGGTCACCTAGACCATCTCCAGCCTCGCAGACTGAGAGGAAAGCAGATTGGCTTTCCATAGGGAAAACCCAGAAAAGGAAAGAAGGAAGGAAGCGCAGGGTGCTTCCAGAAACAGCAGCGGCTCCTTGGGCTAAGGAGCCAATAAATTATAGATAGATGGTCAGATAGACCATCAGAAACCTCTCGGCATGAGAGGACTGCTGCCAATGACTGGCAGCAAAGCCCCGCTACATTTGTCTTGGACTAACCTGTACATAAAATACAACAATTGCCGTCCATTCATTTAAGTAACATAGCAAGCCAGGTTAACATTAACCCAAAGGTCTTCTGTATTCTACATTCGCAACGTCCAGATTTGACTTGGGCAAGAACAGCATCGCATGAGACCTATGTCGCACACAGCTTAGCACAGTGTACAGCTGCCCATGCGCAAAGACATCCTCTCTACAATCAAACAGTACTCGATCAAGAGTGAGTCCTTGGCAATTATTGAACGTCACGGAGTAAGCCAATTTCAGTGGAGACTGTTTCCATTGGACTGTGTATTTCGCATAGTTGGGTTTAAAGTCGAAGTGAAGTTCTGGAACAGGAGGACAAATGGGGAGCGGAAAATAAAAGAGAGAAGGGACAGGCGAGATGACGTAAAAGAAAGCATGTAAACAACCCGAAAGGGAAGATGATGACAAATTTTCAGCGTCGCCAATTGCGTAATATCGGGAGTGGTTAGTGACTCTGTGTGCAGAGTAATGTCATCGTTTAGGAAGTGGTTGCTGGTATCTGGAGTTGTGAGGTTATCCCCGATCCGCGGGTGCTTTCCTCCGATGGATAACGATAGTTGAATTCATACTTTTGATATTCTTGGCATTCTCGGACGTTCAGAAGCTCAGGTGCACCCTTGCGAATTGAGTGTGTGAATACAATTCCAATGATGGGAAAGTGTATGCTGTGGGGGCCAACAATCGGCAACCAAGTGAACACCACAGTCGGCACCGAAACAACTCTACGACTAAAATGAGACATCGTGAGGACGTTTTGCCGACCGATAGTGCTATATGAGGACCTTGTACTGGATGTCGTTCATCAAACGACGACATCCAGACATGATGTGCCTGATTCCCTACCTAGCCTCAAGACCCTTCCCGCCCTTCTCCTGCTGAGATTTTTTGTTCAGTAAGCGGGATAGTGAGGTTGGTCCTAACCCTGGAAGGCTAGAATGGACCGACCGGCTCCGGCGACCGTGCGCCACCCGGATCATAATTAGGAAGTTCATGTCGATCTTCGTGAATCGATCAACATGAATTAAGTAACACTAAAAGCGCGCTGATTGTAGCACTTATGTCAGCAGAGAGTAGCGATAAATTAACGCCGCTGCCCAGTTAAATAATATTGCTCGGCACGAAAAGCCACCGTGATTATCGCTAACTCGATAGTGTCAGTATATACTGGTCTCTTGGCGTCTGATCAAGGTCAACCATGGCAGTACGTTATCCTGCCGTGCTCTTGTTCGTGTTCAAGTGTGCAATCACCTCAAATCCCCACTTCTACAATGAGCTTAGCCGACGACCGCTTTCTCTTCGTTCTCCAACTCACTCTCAGGCTGTTCCCGAAGGCAATAGTTTCGGATATGATTGCGCTAACATGTTTCTAGGCTCGCTGCCTTGGCTGATATATGGTAGCACTTGCACTCCCTAACTCGTATGTATGGCAACACGAATGACCTTAACACCTACAGATGCACCACCCATTAATTCGATGGCCTGGATTATTCTGAAAGCCATCATGTCTACCTATTGTGCGCGTGATACTCGTGGAGACCCTAGGGTATTCGATAGCGTCGTTGCTGAGTCTGGAGGGCCATCTGCTTACTCCTATCCCACCCTGTGCATCAAATTGGATCCCCGCCGGCGGATACAGTATTACCACACGGTGCAACTGAGCGGAGGCCGTTCCTCAGCAGTATTGAAAAACGCCATTGTTGCACCAAGCGGCGGCTCAATGGACAGCGACATTGATCATCGAGATCGTTCCCGTTGGGAGCATGTTCTCCTTCATGCGGAATTCCCTTTGTTCTTTTGGTGCCATTCCATATTCGTTACCAGTCTCCTTCTCACGTTCCTCCGACTCCTCATTACACCACGTTGCGCAGCCAAGTTTGCCAGCAGTCCAGCCGTATTTTCTTTCTGGCGCTGCCGTCTCCCCCCGTGCCAGCTGCTAGCTCAAAGGCTTCTTGGGGTGCATAGGCTGGCCCAAGGAAGCGAATTGAATGATCATTGCCTCCCTCCCTCCGTCTAGAGCACCCCTTCCTCGCATATTCACCGTTGCCAGCACTTGTCCCTCCATCTGGCAAGAGAATCAGCATTTCGGTCAGGGCAATTCACACAATCTGAGCGAACCAAACGGGGGGGGGCTTACCCCTTTCTCCAAGTTAATAACGATGACGCTGGGACGACTCGTTCATCCCGTGGATTTTCTGGCTCGTCAGACAATAAGAGTGGAACTTCGTTCGAGTGGGTAAAATGGTTGATGAGACGAAAGAGGACTTGGTGCGACATTCCTGAATGTGGAAGACCCCTTCAAGTACGCGTCTGGGATGAGCCTTTTTTCCCGCTCATGCTGGTATCAGTTGCTACGTACTCGGGTCATTCTAGCTTTCCATGTTGTTTTCCCATGGACTCATGCATAATATAATCTCAACGCTGTTCAGTTTGTTTTACATGATAGAGCCGTTTGATCTCAAGAACTGCTTCTGAAGTACTGGTCAACCATCTCCGCAGTCAGGTGGGGTACCCATCACGCGCATAGGATACCTTCTCCGCGGCCCGAGTGACAACGACCCTAGTACTCTGGACTCCGAGTTCATCTGTGGAAATGCTATTGGATCCTAATCGAACGGGTTTACGTGCCCAGCAACCTGGTTTTTAAGTACATTCAAACAGCTTTTAACATTGCTGTCTAACAGCCAAATTTTAAGGCCCAGCTAGCTGAG